GCCGTCAAATGGGGCCGCGCGCCGCCGGCCAGTGCAGGGGCGGCCGCCGGGGCCCGGGCCGAGCCGCTGAGAAGCTGCGGGCGGCCGCCCCCGCCGCCCCGCGCCCACCCTTGACGGCGGGAGCACGGCCGCCATCCGGTATCGATCGGGACGCGCGCGCCTGTGACACTATGAGGCTTCATCTGGGGAGAAGGGCTCTCGGCGCTGCAGATCGTGCGCGCTGGCACACCTCGGGAGCTCAGGGCGCCGCGCGGGGCGGGCGCCGAGCTCTCGGCTGATAAGTGCCCCCTCCCCTGGGGGAAGAGGAGCCGCGAGGGGAAGGGATCTAATTTTCGACCGTCCTCACATAAAGTGGTTTCTCTGCTCACACTTTCCACTTAAGCTACCCGGAGACATGCTTAATGCCTAACTGGCCTGTTTAGCATGGAGGAGATTGAGTGAGAAATGCTAGTGGAATTGCCATTACATCTGCTTCCCTGTACATGACGAGACACCCTGCAAAAGATGCGCGGTAGACCAGACTCAACAAATCACCGCCTGGCCCCGCGCCACCGGCCCGGCGCTTCGTGCTTGTGGTTAAGACCCGGAGGAGATGTGTAAGTTTGTGATACTAGCTGAACAGTGAGATAATTGGCCAGGATTCGGCAAAGGTACCACCGTGCCAGCCTTTAAAACAAAAGCCTGTGCGACGTGAGAACAGGGGAGGGAAGGATCCTGTGCTCAAGGCTCCTCGCTAAACAGAACTGGAGGAGGAATCGGGTAGGGTTAAAATGAAACGCGGGCTGAGAGGTCCATCAGCAGTCAAGCAGTCACAAGGAGGACAGTGCTTGAGGAAAGGCATATAAATGTCCCCGGTTTTCTGTTCAGTCTCATAGTGTTTTAAGGACTGGATTAAGACCCGCAGTCACGCTGCTTTCTGTTAAACAGCGTGTGTATAATAAGTGCAACATTTCACAATCGGAATTCATGTCCTGAATCACTAAAATGCTAAGGTCCTAAGTAAATCGATAAGCTCAGCTTGCCAAGTTGATCGTTTCTGACATGGCAGTTATGTATGACATGACTTCTAACTCAAATTCATCTCAGTCTTCCTTTTATTCCCTCTTCTCTTACCCGGAAATGTTTGTGACGTGGAAACATAGGTGTAAGGATTCTAAGGCTAGAAAACAGTTCCTTGCCCAGGAGGCATTTTCCCTGAAGCAAAGAACATTGGCACGGGTTTTCCACAAGGTCCAGTGGTGCACCCCACCATAACAACCTTCCAAAAAAAAAAAAAAAAAAGGATACAACAGTGTACACCAGGAGCTTTAAAAAAAATCTTTAACACTCTCTAAAAATATTCATAAGGCAAACTGTTGGCCACAGTGTTGTCGGTGACTGTAAATCATCTGAAATTACCTCAAGGAAGGCATCTATGCCGAAGATGATGAGTTGGCCATAAGCATCAGACATAACTAAAAGAACATTGTGGCATTAAGCAGAGACAGCAGAATAGGAAGGCGTCTGTGTCTGCAGAGCTCAGCTGAGAAAGAACAAAAGTGCATACAATACTGGGAAGACGCCGTGTGGAAATGTAATGTTCAGCCACCTAGGGCGGAATTTTAGTAGCTTTTGCTGGTTGGGGTTTTTAGATCCCTTGAGCACCCTGCAAAAAGTGTACATGACTCTGATCAGGGAGGAGAAAAAAACACATTGCACACACAAAAGCCAGGGTGAAATGTGGCAGCTTTCCCTAGGACACCCCAACAGCAAATGGAGACTTGCTTAGTCACTAACACTTTACAGAGCCCTGACACAGAAGCCACAGTCTCAGCCAAGTGACCTCCCAACTGAAGACACTCCTAACGGTTGAAAACTAGAAAGACTTAACTCGCTGGTAACAGAAAGGAGTCGGTGCATAAAAAGCAGACTCTTCAAAATACCAACAACCCTTAAATCTTTGTGCTGCCTCCTTTCTCTCGATGTTGAGAACGTGTTCTCCCTTTTAAACATAGAGGGCCTTCCCCTGCTCATTGCACTGTGACAACTCACACACGCTGAATCACCTCTCAGGGGTTAACTCGTGGGGTGAATTTGATATGAATTCAGAACTTTTGAAGGAATGACGTGACCACAGGAGGGAGACTAGTGGATAATGAACAAGAGAGGGCATGTGCCAAACATACATGCTGTACTGGTTAGTCCTCATCAGCTTGGCACAGTTAGGGCTTCCATTGCTGTGAAGAGACACCATGACCGAGGCAACTCTTATAAAGGAAGACGTTTGGCCGGCAGGCTTACAGCTTCAGGGGTTCAGTCTGTTACCATCATGGCGGGAGGCATGGTGGTGTGCAGGCAGACATGGTGTGGAGAAGGAGCCCAGGGCTCCACATCTTGACCAGCAGGCAGCAGGAGACTGTGCTAACACGAACATAGCTTGAGCATATACATGAGACCTCAAAGCCCGCCGTCACAATGCCACACTTCCTCCAACAAGGCCACACCTATTCCAACAACGCCTCACCTCCTAACAGTGCCTCTCCCCATAGGCCAAAGCATTCAAGCACACGCGTCTACAGGGGCCATGCCTATTCAAACCGCCACACACGGGAAGGAGGAAACCTCGTTTAAAGGAATTGCCTACATCCTGTGGCCCTGAGGACATATCTGTGGGGCATTTCTCGATGACTGATGGATGCAGGAGCACCCAGGCTGCAGGATGTGGATAGTACCCTTCCTAGGGACATGGGCCCGAGCTTATAAAAAAGCACACTGAGCAAGCCAAAGGGGTCAAGCCCCTAAGAAGCATTCTACGCCATCTGCTTTAGCTTCAGTTCTCAGGCCCCTGCTTCCCTCCATGAGGACCTGTAACCTGTAAGATTAAATAAGCCCCTCTCTCCCTAAGTTTCCTGTGTCTGTAGTATTTACTAAAGCAATGAAAGAAAATTAGGAGACACTGTGTATATGGAAATGCCATCATGAAACCCATTTTTTTTTTGTCCAAATAATATGCCATCATCACAATAAAATCACTTTCAACATTTGGGAAAGTATTTTTGGAAGGAAGAAGATCCTTTCTGCCCTGAAATCATAGTGTATGTGAGAAAGACACAATAGCTGCTGTACTTTTTAATCCCTTGACTATCTGTGGGATTTTGTCTTTGGATTTTTTTTTTTTTTTGGTCAGGAACAGTTTTACTTCTTCTGTTTCCTGCCCCATCACTTCTGCCTACAAACGTTCCTGTAAAAACTAACATCATTTGCCACAATTAGAAGCCCTGGCTCTCAAGAACTTGGACGTCAACCATGGTTCCAGAGTCGAAAAGTGAACTACTATAGTCGCCCCTAAATTTAATGGTGTCTAGGTGTCCTCGTTTTAGCAAGTGACACCTCTACCAAACCCAAAATCCCTTGGCTCAGGCTCACTCCATCGGCCTTCCACCCTTCCTGACTCCGACTCCCCGTTGCTACGTGCTGCCTTCTGCTTCCGCCCTCTCCCGCACAGGCTCTGTTTAGCAGCAAAAGGATCCTAACAAGTTTGCTTGGAAACATGAAGTGACTCCCACCACCATGGGAGTAAAACCCAAACCTGTCAATTCACTTACAAATGTGTCTAGCATATATGGAATAGGTTGGTTGGTTCCTGGTTGGTTGGTTGGTTGGTTGGTTCCTGGTTGGTTGGTTGGTT